TTTTTTTTGAGACAGGGTCTCGCTCTGTTGCCTGGGCTAGAGTGCAGTGGCATCATTGTAGCTCACAGCAACCTCAAGCTCCTGGGCTCAAGTGATCCTCCTGCCTCAGCCTTCCTGGTGGCTGGGATTATGGGTACATGCTTCCACGCCCAGCTAATTTTTTAATTTTTGTAGAGACAGGGGTCTCGCTATTGCACAGGGGTCTCGCTATTGCACAGGCTGGTCTCAAACTCCTGGCCTCAGACAGTCCTCCTGCCTCAGCCTCCCAAAGTGCTAGGATTACAGAAACTATTTATTATAGCATTCTTCTCAATTCTTAGGCTAGATGAACTGCAGAAGCAACTACAAGAAGACATAAGGCAGGGCCGAGGCATTAAATCCCCAATCAGAATCGGAGATCAAGACAGTACAGATGACGAGGATGGCCTCTTGGAAGAGCACAGGTACAACATTTTTCATAATGTACATATGCCCCTATTAAGTTTTTACATTTTTTAGTTGTTTTTATGAAATAAATGAGGTGTTGATGGCCATTTACTTAGTGAATAATCTTTGATGGGTTTCTCATCCATCTGTGATTGAAAGACAGATGTTAGGGCCAAGTTACATCTTTTGTCTTTTCTCTTGGCTATTGTTCCCTTTCACACAGACACATTTAGTGGCTCTTGAATAACTATTAGCAAAAAGTGGTAGAAGCAAAACATACTTTTTCTCATGCTAGTCTAATTTGGGATTAACGTTGGTTTTAAAAATAGTTTTCTTTGTGCCCAGCTTTGAAGTACAAAACTATGTGTAGTGTTAACTATTTGGTATTCATTGACTTTGTTTGTGTTTCAGGGAATTTCTAAAGAAATTTTCAGTTACAGTTGATGCTATTCCTGATCATCATCCAGGTGAAGAAATATTTAATTTCCTCAATTCTGGAAAAATTTTCAATCAGTATACCTTGGATTTAAGAGACTCTGGTTTTATTGGACAAAGTGCTGTAGAAAAGCTTATTCTTAAGTAAGTAGAAAAATAGACATTTTACTTTTTTATGTGTAAAAAATTACTCTAAAAGACTTCTGAATAATGTAATCTTCTAAAAGGTTAATTTCTATCATGATCTATCAAGTTTTCTAATCCTCTTATTACTACTGCTCTTGGGTTTTCTTATTTAATTATAGCAAGCAGTGTAGGATAGTTGTTTGGCACATTACATGCCTTTATTAGTTAGGATTAAG